GGGGGGGGATTGCTATTAGTCCTGTGAGTCTCCTTAAAGAGGTGCCAGTTGTGACTGGTCTGCAAATCACATTGTGTGGAAATGACTAATTAGCTGTGTATCCGTAGGGAAGTTTCTTTATCTCCCTGGGCCTCAGTTTCCCCAGTTGCAGCATTATTAGTGGAATTGGGTCACTTCTGTAGCCCCTTCCAGTTCTAAAATTCTATAATTCTTTGTTCGATAAGCATGAATTATGGCCAGAGAGGTGGTGTTAAAGGCAGACAGCATTAGAGTTGGGATGGAATTACTGCGCTGTTCACAGGTCTGGATTTGTTTCAGTTTCCCCAAGGCTTTGACACCTACAAACTGCTGTTTGTCAAGATAAGACCTTCCCTGCCTGACAGGAAGCTATTTGAAGGCAGCTACTAACTCTGCCTGAACTGTTGTATCCCCAGGGCCAAGCACATATATAGTAATATATTTTTTGCTTTGAATGCAGAAGATAAATGATTTGCATTTTAATGGGGTGGTTTTGCACCTGTGCACCATCTAAGAAATAAACCTTTTAAATCTAGCTCCTCCCAGCTGTTGCATTAACCAACAGCTGTTACATTAACCAAAAATTTGGATTGTCTTTGCATTGCTGTGTAATTAGTTGTTTTGGTGTTGATCTTTCCTACTAGACTATTTCAGGGCAGGGGTTGTTATTCCTCATTGTGTTCCACACATACTCAGGGCACATTCATAGTGAAGACAAGCTTTGCACTTTAAAGGCTGTATGAGAAAATACATGAAGTAACCAGCAGATAAAAGAAGCGAAATCTTTTTTAGACATCCAGAATAAACCATATCTTAATATAGGAAAATGGCAGTTCTTTTGGCTCAAGAATTACTTCTGCAAAAAAAAAAAATCTCCTTTATTAAACCAAGCTTGTTTTCTTTTCTTTGGTATATAAAAAGATGTTTACATGATACCACCCAAACTTTCACAGAAAGTGTAGACAGGTTTTCTATTTTGCCAGGGATACCAGATGGGCTAATGAGCAAGACTAGGAAGACAGGAGTGACACATGTCAGAGCCAAGGATACAGAAGAGAGAGCATCATCCCCCTGTAGTAGAGATGGGGTGAGAATATAATGGTAGGCAGAGATCAGATTGCAAAGAACCTTTTATGCCATTGATGAGTTCACATGCAGGCAACACGCGAACTGAAGAAGGGAAAGTTTGTTCATTCAACAAATGATTATTGACCAACTATCAATCGGCTACGGTTTACTCAGCACCAGAAGCGACTGGAAGGTTTTGAGCAGATGAGTCATGTTATTTGACTCCAGCTATTGTGTTGAAAAGAAGTTGAATGAACAATGACAGGTGCAGGGACATCATTAAGAAACAATTGCAATAAATCTGCGCAAGAGATCATGGTGGTTTAGAACAGATGGTGGTCATAGCATTGAAGAGGTAAAAAGTGCTCAGGTTCTGGGTAGCTTAGAGACACAATGAATAGGGTTTGCTGACTGGCTGGATATATTATTTGAGGGAGAGGATGACAGGATATTTAGCCTGAGGGACTCAGAGAAGGGCGTTCCCATGTACTGAAATGACAAAGACTTAATACTGGAAGGGGTGAGATCAGGAGCTCAGTGTTGTACCTATTAAGTTTGAGATGTCTCATATGCAATTGGATATACAAACCTGTTGTTCAAGAGAGTGGTCCAACTGGATCTATGAATTTGGGAGTTATCATCATATAGATGGGATTTAAAGCCAAGCTGAGAATGAGACTTGATGAGATCACCAAAGAAAGAGGTAGAACAGAGAAGGAGGCAAAGGACAGAGCCCTGGGGCACTCTGGTGTCTAGAGATTAGAAAAAGGTGGAGGAACCAGCAAAGAAAACTGTCGAAGCAGCCAGAAAGGGAGAAGAGCAAAGAAAGTGTCCTATTGTGGAAGCCAAGAAAATGTTTCGAAGAAGAGGCAATCACTAGCTATACCAGACACTGGGGCAAGGTCAGGTAAAACGAGAACTGAGAATTGATCATTGGATTTAGCAGTGTGAAGTCACTGACTTTGGCAGGAGCTGTGAGAGTGGATTGAGAAATTGAGCACAGAAGTATTAGCACTCTTGAATTTTCCTGTAAAGCAGGGTGGGGAACCTTTTTTTGCCAAGGGCCATTTGGATATTTAGAACATCATTCTTGGCCCATACAAAATTATCAACTTAAAAATTAGGCTGCTATATTTAGCCAAACATTTAATTAACTCACCCCTAATGTGATGGCTGGAACTGCTTCTCTTTGGTGAGGCCTTGGCAGGGCCAGACCAAATGATTTCGGCCCTCGGTCAAACGTTCTCCACCCCTGCTATAAAGGAAGGAGAGAAATGAGAAGCATTCGGAGGAAGAATTGGAATCGAGAAAGGGTTTTCTTTAAGAAAGGAGAAATACTGTAATAGCATGTTTCTCTGCTGATGGAAAGATCCAGTAGAGAGGAAAAGATTAACGATGCAGGAGAAGGAAGGAGAGCGGCGTTGGAGCGACACTTATGAGAGACTTCAGTGCTAGGAGCAGAGACCATTCATCCATGGTCTCTATAAAGAAGATAGAATATTTAGGCACAGATGGGGGTAGGTGGGGAAATGTGGTGGGAGTTTATTTTCTCTGAGTGCTCTCTTCTCAGTGAAACAAAGTAAGGATGTCAGTTGAAAGGATGGAGAAAGAGGTACTAGAAATTTAAGAAGAGAAAATATGAATAATCGTCTGGGAAAGTGAGAATGTATAGGGAATCAGGAAATATAGTGAGGGACCTGTTAAGATTTGCTTGGAGTATTTCGCTGTCACTTCTTCCTGGCCAATGTAAGAAGGCCAGTAAGAAGACCATTGCAGTGGTCTAAAGGAGATTGTTAAGCTTCTGAATCAGTCCAAGTGCAGTGTTTTGGTGTCATTAGCACGTAGGCACTAGTTGAAGCTGCAGGTATGGATGAAATCGCCCAAAGAGAAGCAGAGTGACAATAGCAATGGATAGAGACCACAGGAAGACAAGCCCAAACTCAGAGTCCCCTCCAGCAAAATAGGAGAAACCAAGAAAAGGGGGGAACAGAGGTAAGGTTAGATGAGGCTTATACTTAATTAATTAGGAAGTCATCGTTTTGGTGGAGCAGGGCAGGAACACACATCCCCCCCACTGTTAGTTGAGTAGTAAATAGAAATCAGGAGAACAGATAGTAAATAAAGACTCTACTTTCAAGAAAGATAAGTAGAAGTAGCAAAGCCCAAAACTAGGCCTGGAAAGCCATTCTTGCAGAGATGACAGCTTCGGGAAAGGCTTGGAGTCATAGAAGGGCACATTTAGGGAATTTTAAATAGCTTGAAATCTAAATACATATTTTTAAATACTTATTTAATAATTTTTTGTTCCTTTGTCAATTAAAACTGTGACCAATGTATAGTTCTACTTGGGGAGCTGGGATGAAGTGTGCCTCTGTTTAGTTGTATGTGTACATATGTGTCCCTTAAGTAACTTAAAAAATACCATGAGACCTTTCACATGATAATAGCTTTTGAGACTACTCAAGCTCTTACAATGGGAGAAAGTAGGCAGTAGTACTCTCTTTAATAGTAATATAATATGTTCCCATGTCTCTGCCAGTCATAAAGGTAATGGATGAAAGTTTTTTCTTTTCCTTCATTTGCTTATTTCAGGATGTAAGTAAGAGTACAGCAGAAAATGTCCACTGAACGGACTTCTTGGACAAGTCTGTCCACTACTCAGAAAATAGCACTGGGCCTCGGGATCCCAGCTGGTGCAACGGTTGCCTATATCCTGTACCGCAGATATAGGGAAAGCAGAGGTATGTGAACCCCACAGCTGTACACATGGAAATGTTCAGATTATGTTTCAGCCTTGTTAAATTGAAATAAAAACTGTCCTTGCCAGACTGGGGATCATTTATTGGGATGTGATTGACTTTCTGTGATGGGTCTTTGAAACTATTTGGTTTCTTCTTTTCTGTCTTCTTATTGTGAAGCTATCATCATTTATATGAAGCTATCGCTTTATAATTCTATTGATCTGTTCCCTTCAGCAACGTCAACAGTGCAATGGATTCTTTTTCTGTTTCTTTTTTTTAATATCCATACTCTTATCTTTTTTATATGCTCCTTCTATTTAATTGTTAGGAGAAGGCTAACTGTGGGGTTTAATTTTCCCTAGAGGCTGGACCTAGAGAAGAGGACCTAGAGAAATGGTTTTGTACAAACAGGAGAAGCTCTGAGCCTAATGGACTCCTCAGGCAACTTCCAAGAGAAATAGTTTGGTTAAGATCCAATACCTTTTGATTGCAGAGCCAAATGCTTTTCCCACTTTAGCATCTGAAACAGTATCCCAGAGAGAATGCTCATCTTCTGTTCTTTGGGGATCTTCTAATTCCCGCTCAGATGCTACTTCTCCTTGTCATTTGGCTGAGATTCTCAGTTTATCTCTTGGATCAGTGTCTCTTTGACAGCTAGATTCAGGGGAGGGCTGGTAGGAGCTTTGGGCATTAATCTAAGTCTGATCTGATGAGCCATGATCTGTGCAGAAGAGCGGCTGACGTTTGTTGGGGAGGACGACATTGAGATAGAGATGCGCGTGCCCCAGGAGGCTGTGAAGTTCATAATTGGCCGGCAGGGAGCCAATATTAAACAGGTAAGTGTGTAAGCCTGCTTTTCCAGAGATTGATTCTGCCTTCCCTTCTCTGCCCTCATCCCACAAAACCCATCCACACTATGCACATTTTAAAAAGAAAAAATACAGGAACTTCTTAGCTAATATGCTATTTACCTTCTAGAAATGAGTACTTCTGCTCCCTAGAGAATGGATGACTTAGCTTGAAATGGGGATTTCTGATTGGTTACATCTCAACTTGGTATAGTTTGACCCATTCTTTTCTATTTTTCATACTTTCATTAATTGACATTAAATATTGAATTCCTGCCTAATTCTTCTTACCATCTTCCATTGTTCAGGTGGTGTGTCAAGAAAACAAAATACTTGATTTTCTAATCCAAATAAAATCAGGAGAAAAGGGGGTTCTAAATACAAAGAGAAACCGTTTTAAGTTAACTGCTATTTGAGGTCACCTTGTCACTAATCTCCTTCATAAGTACCTGTGAGGGCTGCTTATAACATCCTGATTTTGCTAATAATTGTGTCCAATGCCATCTCCCTCCAGGGTTAGGTTTGGAGTGTCCTTAGCTAACGGGGAGCTCTTCCGGAGCGTATTCCCATGTGTCCTTTTCTCTGCAGCTGCGGAAACAGACAGGTGCTCGGATTGATGTGGATACGGAGAATGTAGGCGATGAGCGAGTGCTGCTTATCAGTGGTTTTCCTGTTCAGGTGTGCAAGGCCAAAGCAGCAATCCACCAGATCCTGACAGAGACTGCCCCAGTGTCTGAGCAGCTCTCAGTTCCCCAGAGATCTGTGGGCAGAATCATAGGTACCACTGGACAGCTTCCTCTACTGTTTCCTTTTTTCCTTTACCTTTGCCTTTCTTTCATATCTGCCCAAGGGTTTTTTCTGGCCTACTTCCCCGTCACCTTGCTGAGGAAAAAAAGGGACACTGAGACCAGAGCTTTACTTTTTTACAGAGCCATTGGTAAAGCAAAACCCATTACCTCAAGAAGTTGTATGATCTGAACTTTACAAGTAGATTCCAGAAGGGTTCAGGTAAAGGTATTTAACTCATAATAGATTTTTTTGTTGTTGTTACTCTTCATCCCAGGATATTTTTTCCATTGATTTTTAGAGAGAGTAGAAGGGAGGGAGGGGGAGAGAAAGAGAAACATCGATGTGAGAAAGACACATCCATTGGTTGCCTCCTTCATGCACCCCAACAGGGGCCGTGGAGCAAACCTGCAACCCAGGTATGTGCCCTTGACCTGAAATCAAATCCACAGTCCTTTGGTTCATGGAATAACACTCTAACCACTGAACCACACTGGCCAGGGCATAATAATAATAGATTTTTAAAGGGAAGCTGAGGATGCTCATGTTATCCTCGATCATTCTAGATACTGTTCTAGAGGGCACCTGTCATGCTTTCCCCTAGAGCATTACTTATGCTGCTGTTAGTAGCAGAAAAATGTCCTGTCCTTGGTCCAATGTTTCATACTCCTTATAGGATCTCTTCTAATGGAATGGGGATGTAAAGTATGCTGAATGGTCAGAAAATGGAAATGACATAAAGAAGTTAACTTAGCCAATGTTAGAGTTTAAATAAAATGGATAGAGCAAATAATCCAGAACTACCCTTCTTACAGTAGGGGTTTCAGTAGCTCCTTCTTTCCAGTCAATATTTTGTATTCTGTTCAGTTTAAAAATGGGAACTGACTCTCTTCTAGTATATACAAAATAGTGATTTCTGTAGCAGTTAAAGTTAGCCAGGACAGGAAGACAGGATTTTATGTATTGTTCAATGTAGGGAGAGGTGGCGAGACGATTCGTTCTATATGTAAGGCCTCTGGAGCCAAAATTACCTGTGACAAAGAATCAGAGGGGACGTTACTACTATCAAGACTTATAAAAATCTCAGGAACACAGAAAGAAGTGGCAGCAGCCAAGGCAAGTAGCTGATAGACTTGAATCATATCTAAGAATGAGAAAAAACTTTTATTCCATCCTGGGTCAAAATATCTGGCCACATAGCTGTCATCCCTTCTCTTATTTTCCACAGCATTTGATACTAGAGAAAGTTTCAGAAGATGAAGAACTTCGGAAAAGAATCACTCATTCTGCAGAAACCAGAGTCCCACGCAAGCAGCCAATCAGTGTAAGAAGGGAGGAAGTAACAGAGCCACGTGCAGCTGGAGAGCCAGCTTTATGGAAAAACACTTCTGCTAGCATGGAGCAGGCTTCGCCGCTGGCAGATCCTTCCTGCAAAGGAGGTGGCGACATGGCTATTGTAGGGCCGGAAGAAGGTTCCTGGGAGAAACCTAATGGTGACAGCTCTCAGAAGTCTGGAGCCCAGCCCAGCCCAGAGATGTCCATGTTTGAAAGTATGTACCAGAGAGGGAACCCATAGCTATATGGAAAATAGAAATACTGGCTTACATAACCCCAAATAGGAAGCAATAAAAAATAATTTCTATTGTCTTGACTATAAGTTTTCATCAGATACGCCTTCCTGGTAATATTTTACTTGGATTAGTAGTGAAGATAATATTTTTCTGAATACAAACCAGCTAATGATGGAGAACAATATGAAATATGTTAAGTCCCAGGAAACTAGTCTGTGATAGATCAGGTAATGAATTTATATGATCTTTCATCAAACATACTTATAAAACAAGTAAAATGCTCAGCCCAATTTTTTTTGCCCATCTCATTGTTTTTAAAAATCACCCACATTTAAGAATTAAAAGGCTGTGAACTTTCTCTTTTATGCATAGGTATGGGATGAGCAGGGGAAACCAGGGCCCCTAAGAGGTTCACAGACTTGTCCAGGGTCACACAGTGAGTCAGTGGAAAAATGGAATCTGGACAGGCCCTTATCTGTCCACGTATCTTTTCACTGGTCCATGCTGCAGCTAGCATCTGGAAGATTTACCGTCATCATAATTGGTGACTAATATGAATACATAGCTGATGACTAAGAATGTAAACTCTCTTATTACTCAATTACATAGGAAGGTACAGAACCTAGCTTAGTACCTTTCTTCAGGATGTTCTTGTATGATTCATCCAGTTGTCCCTCCAGCCACTTTTAACATGGTAATAGCCACTTGGTATTCGCACCCCCTGATGCAGTCTCCTCATTCCAACCAGAGATGACTCTGATGTGGTTGTACCTTTCTTCAGGATGTTCTTGTATGATTCATCCAGTTGTCCCTCCAGCCACTTTTAACATGGTAATAGCCACTTGGTATTCGTACCCCCTGATGCAGTCTCCTCATTCCAACAAGAGATGACTCTGATGTGGTTACCATATTAGATGGTGATGATTCTGCAGCTTAACTTGCTTATGCCTGTGTTTAGTCCCCAGTCCTGACTTCAGTTTCCATGCTGATGAGTTCCTGGAAGTCTACGTCTCCGCTTCTGAACATCCTAACCACTTCTGGATCCAGATCATTGGCTCCCGAAGCCTGCAATTGGATAAGCTTGTCAATGAGATGACCCAGCACTATGTGAATAGTCTGGTGAGCTGCCATAGGGACAGGGCTCGGTTTGATGAAAAGAGATATCTTTTTCATTGTAGTATATTTTCTTCCTTTTCCTGTGGAGCAACTACTCATTCTTTCTTCCTTCTGATATTGTTTCTATTTTTAAGCCTACCCCTTCTAACTCTACCCTCTCCTGACCCTTATCCACGTGTAGCCTGAAGACCTGACTGTGCACGTAGGAGACATTGTAGCAGCACCTTTGTCTACAAATGGTTCCTGGTATCGAGCCCGGGTCCTTGGCACCTTGGAGAATGGGAACCTGGACCTCTACTTTGTTGACTTTGGAGATAATGGAGATTGCTCACTGAGGGACCTCAGGGCACTCAGGTCAGTGTGGAGGCCAGGGTAGAATCAATCTGGAGTGCCAACTATTAACTCAACCCTGGCCATAGGGTGGTGGGCTAGCTGTTGGCACTCATCAACAGGGGGATTTGGGAGAACCTATTTACATAGAGCAGAAGATTACCTCCTCCTGCTGGGTTAGTCAGAAGCAAGGAATATAAGCAGGCAGTTCTGGCAGTAGAAGTCTAATTTCAGTTTCTTTCACTTTAGGAGTGACTTCCTAAGCCTTCCATTTCAAGCAATAGAGTGTAGTCTGGCACGGATCGCCCCTTCAGGTAAATTGGTCACACCACCTATTGACCTTGCCTCCAGATAGGATAACTTGAATACAGCACATGGGAGTTCTCACATTCCAATGCTTTTTGAGTTCAAGGGGCTTAGGTTTCTTTTCCTCACCAGCACTAGGAAGCAACAGCTGGAAACTTGCCTGGCAGTCAGACATAAGTGCCTTCCAGAGTAGAAAGAGCTAGTTCCAATTTCCATTCAGGGGATAATCCCAGCCATGTCAGTACAGACCTCTTGGGCTCTCCCTACAATCTTTTGTCAGGTGAACAATGGGAAGAGGAAGCTTTGGATGAGTTTGACAGACTTACTCACTGTGCTGACTGGAAGCCCCTGGTAGCCAAGATCTCTAGCTATGTCCAGACTGGGACCTCAACTTGGCCCAAGATCTACTTATATGATACTAGCAATGGGAAGGTAAGATTGGCATTCGCTCATTGCTCACTGGCTCTTGAGTATATTTATAGCCTCATTTATTTTTTCTTTCCCAGAAACCCTATGTGACGCTCCTCCTACTTTGTAAGATCCTACTTACCATCCCACCAAAGGAATGTCCTTCAAGTGTCAGTCATAGCTCTTCTGCCCTAGTTCTTCAGATGCGTTCTTCTTCACAGAGAGAATCTCATTCCCTTCTCATTTTTCTTCTCAGAAACTTGATATTGGGTTAGAATTAGTTCGTAAAGGATATGCAGTTGAGCTTCCTGAAGACATGGAAGAAAACGGAACTGTCCCAGATGTGTTGCACGATGTGGTGAGTGAGCGAGCTATTGCAGTCATTGAAGGTGCTTTTGGGGGGCAAATCTCATGCCTTGAGTGACATGAGGACTTCTAGTCATGCATGACATTTTGTAGAGAGCTTTCCTAGATCATCTAAGGAGGCACTGTGTCCCTCCCAGCAACCAAACTCAACTGCCTGAAGCAGATCCTGTGAGCAAAACGACAGAGTGGCCGCTCCTTTCCCCCCAGCCAACGTATTCTTCCTTTTTCTCTTGTTTTCATCCTCAGGCCACAGATGTGTCTCTCAGCAGCATGTTCACTGAGACCAAGAAGAGCGCTGCAGAGATAGCAAATACCCTGTCCTCCCTCAGCTTATCAGGTACAAACAACATTTTCTCCCTAGAGCATCTTTGGAAGTTATCATTTCTCAGTTACTCTCTCCAAACTAGAGAGCTCGTTAAGGCTTGGCTCTTCCCAAGGTGGCCACTGAGCATCCCTGAGCCTCGGTGGCAGTGTCTAACTTTCTGCTCATTCCTGCTGTGTAGAAGCTGCCTCTATGTCTGGTGATGATAACCTTGCAGAGGACTACTTAATCTGAAGTCCGCTTCAGCTGCCTCGGCCATCTGCTTTGCTTTGTGAGTGGAGCTGTCATCTGTCTGTAGCAACAGGAAAAGGAATGAGGGTGACAAGGGCCTTGCTTTAGTCTCTCTTCCCCATAGCCTGTCTAAATACTACTACTCTGCAGCTGTTTTCCTATAGCTTAACTTGCTGTCAGGTTGAGCCCTTTTAAACTTTTTGTGTCTTTGTTTTTTTGGCAGGATTTGATGCCTGGAGAGAAAAGCCTGTGATCAAGAGATCTATGCAGTCCTTCCTTTATTACACACAAAACCTGGCTTGCTGTGGGCCAAATGTGTGTTCTCCTATGGTGAAACGACCAGAAAGAGTGTGGAGTAGAGAGAGACAAATATGTGCTCCTACTCCATCCCCCACCAGCCTCCCTTCCCGTGTTTGAATACTGCTGCATTGTGTCCAGGCTGCTCAACATCTGGCTTGTCCCCTCCACCTATCAGAATGCACACTCCTGCTGGGCTGTGTCCTTTCTCAGGCTGGGAAGTAGCCAGGATTTGGTCATTGGAAGTGATGATTCTGCACATCTCTGACTCACCTCCTCAGGTGACTCTGGTTAAGGGAAGCTTTTGAATGGTGAACTAACTCAAAGACTGCAGTTGAGTCAGGAGACAAAGGCAAAAATCAGCATATTTATATTAAAAAGCCTCAGGAAATGGGAAAGAGAATGTTGCCTCCCAGCCTCAACTGATGATGTTATTGGAGACAGGTTTTTGAAAACAGTGCTCTATTTCCCTGTACACTTTGGTTAAAATATAAGCAAGGAGAGAGGCAGCTCAGGAAATACTCTAAATTGCTAGTATAGCATCTATAATATATATGTGTGCATACACCCAGAGAAAAAGAGAACATGTGTAGTTGTTCAAAGCATTTAGGAAGTTCTTTGCTGAATAAAGTTCTCAAAAAATTATCTAAAACTAAATGCTGGTTGTATCACAAGGTGGAAGAAGGCCTATGGGTGTGTCTTCTGAACCTAAATCTAGTGAGAATTGCGAACACCTCACGTAGAGGGGTCCATCTATGAACAAGTATTCCTCCCATGTGTAGATCATATCCTTTCCCTGAAGTTACCAGAGCCAACTTGGGTTTTGACTGTGTAAATAAGACTGCACCTAACGTATTTGGAAGAAAAAGCCTGGATTAGGATTCTAGAAACCTGGGTTCTAGGAATACATCTCTGGACTCTAGGGAGCCTGTTTCTCTACAGCCTCTCCCCATTTCTGACAGTATCGTGAGAGCTAGGAAGGTACTTGAAGTAATATTGTCAATGTAATGAGGGTGGTAGAATAATGACAAATGAACATTTTTTTTAAGGATCAGCAAAGTAAACTGGAAAACTTGAAATAGCACATAAGGACGCCTTATGCAGGTTTTTTTTTTAATCTAGGGATTGGTGAACTGGGTCTACCCATATACTACATGGCAACTCTATTTTCCCATAGCCACAATTTTCAAAATTTTTCTCAGATCTCAGTGCCAGTGAGCAGTGGCGCTCCTGTGAGGGAGCAGCTCTGATGAGCAGCTGTGGAAAAGTCAGTTAAGGGCTGCCACTGACCTTCAGACCTTGGCTCAGCCCTGGGGTTGGAGCCACTCTACATGGTCATTGGGTCACTTAGTCCCTAGTTTCCTCAGCTCTTCAGCCTTTACTGTTAAGTAGAGAGGACCCCTAACAAATCATAAGACTTCTCGCTGTGGAAAATGAGTGGTGTCCATTCCTAGCTGCGGTTTGCTACCGTGTATAAAAGTGTGTTCCTTTAAGGTGGCTTTTAAGTCTTTTCAGTTCACATCCCGTTCTGATGGGCTCCTTGTTCTTCCAACAGCCCTGTGCTTTTCCTGCTGCCCGGAATACCCACTTGTATGCTTCCTGTTTGTTATTTTGTCTGTTGTAATCCCCTGAGTCAAAGCAGCGGGACCCATGTGCCTTCTCTCATCTCCACATCCAAAGAAAAGGAATTAGCACTTGTCTCTGATTTGAACTGAAATATATGAATGAAAATATCCCAATAGCTTGGTTCTTGCTCCTGGCAGGTGTTCAGTAAGTAAATGGTTAGAATAAATGGGGAAATGGCTTTGGGGTGAGAGGAAGGCAAAAGGAGCCTAAAATCCTTGGGTCCCTTTCCTGTCTGTTCAGCTCCCTCTGATTGTTTCAATCATTAAATGTTTCTCCTACAGTGAATTCAGCTCTGTAAGACCCATGTTCCACTCCAGCAACCCCACCTTCCCCCCCAAGAAACAGTGAACACGTGTGGATTGCACTACCCTTTAATTCCTAGGATAGGAGGAGGTGTCCAGAATCACATCCTGGGTCCCATGTATCAAGGCCTCCAGCCCCTCAGAGAGTATGGATAAGCATGCTCAGGGAGACTTAGTGGGCAGCTGGCCCAGATCCCTTTCAAGGGGATACACCATAAAGATGGTATTGTCCCAGGGAGGGAGGGCAGGGTGACCTGGTCTGACCAGCTCAAAGCCCATGTAGCTGAAGGCACGTAGCAGGGCACCTGTGAAAGGAGAGAACAAGTTAGAAAACTCTGAAACTCAGTACCCAGAGATCTGGATTTTCTACTTGGGAATGGCTGTGGTGAGAGGGTGTCATGCAGGCATTAGGATGATGTGCTTTGGAGTCAAAGAGACTTAAGACTCTAATCCTCGCTTTAATATTTGCTTTGTGACATTCTACGACTTAACCCTTCCAAAATTTTTTCTTATTTGTAAAATGGAGACTATAGAACCTTCTTCACAGAATTTAAGATTAAACAAGATGGCACTGGGAGGCGTGGTTCAGTTGGTTGGAGCGTCATCCTGTGCACAGACAGGTCACAGGTTCAATATCCAGTCAGGGCACATACCCAGGTTTTGGGCCTGATCTCCAGTTGGTATCCATGCGGGGGCAACCAGTAAGTGTTTCTCTCTCCCCCTCTCCTTCCTCTCTAAACTCAATAAAATAAAAAATAAAACAGTAAATTCCTACAGAAAAAAAATATTAAACAAGATGTTTATGAAGTGCCTAACAATGATGGTGGTGTAAACTCTTGACCATCCTTTGTCTTAAGTCCCACAGAGTATAAAGTCCTTGAGGGAAGAGGTTATAGTGTATGTAGCATGTGCTCCAAGCATCTGGTTATATTCCTATCCTGACCTTATGCCTGACCCTTTCACACTGTTGGTGCTTAATACATGTGATATCCTTTCTGTCCTACCAGCCACATCCCTTGAATGGATTCTAATTTCACCAGTGGTCCTTTAGTCTGGCTTCTGAGTTATCTCAGGGACTTCCTAATACACCAGTTGTAACTTGAACAGAATGCCAGATACCTTAATTTCCTTTGGGAGAGACCCTGAAATGCTTGAGCATTCCCTTTTTAAAGAGTTGGGGGAAGAGGGTCTCCTTAAAAGAAAAAGTCATGTTAGCTGCTTCAGCACCAAGGGCCAAGGACAGAGCAGATCCCCACCTCTGTCATTACGGTCATTTTGGAAGTTTACAAACACGGAGTCCACATTGGTCTTCTCCTCCACGTACTCCAGTGTTGCAGTCAAACTAGGAGCCAGGGAGAAACATCATGGTTAATGAAATGTTTAGCAAACTCAGAATCCAGAAGAAACCTCATTGGTCAGTTTTTGCTAACCCAAGCCAGGAAATGCAAGTTGCTAAACTAATTTTGAGAGGTTTTTCTCTGAAGCCAAGGGGATTGAGTCTGGGGAGAAGGGACTACTCTATAAAGTCAATGGCTGGAAAGCATGTCCTATTCAGCTGTCTATGGAGTCTCACTTTTGTGTTTCTGACTCTGAATCCAGCAACCTCCCGTGGATTGTTATCCCTTGAACCCTAGGTCCAGGCTGGCTCACAGGCCTGTCTGCATGCAGTTCAGTGGTTTGAATTATCGAGCTCCTGAATCAGCCCTCACTGGCTAGCAGAGCCAGTACCTGATGACATGATAAAAGAGAGAAACCCTAACACTTCCTCCACACTCTCCCATCCAGGCTCAGTCACCTTTTCTGGTTGCCTTGATCCAAGGCCCGATATGGGATATCCAGGAAAAGTCGACGGTCACAGAGAAGGCCGTGCCAATGGACAGAGGTCTGAGGGGTGAGGCGGAAATGGAAATCTAACTGTACTGGGTCCTGGTGGAGGAGAGCGTCAGTAGCCAGCACCGTCAAATTCCCAGCCTGGAAAAGGAGTACAAATGAGAGTAATAGTTCCCTGCTTTTGTGTGCATCTCGTCCTCACAGATTTAGATGTCTGAGGAGCAAGGAGGGGGCTGAGGGAGAGCCTGGGAGAACTGGAGCCAAGGTCTTAATTCAGCAATATTATCCCTCAGCCCTAGGACCTAACTCCATTCCTGTCGTGGAGTTCTCCTTGAGAGCAAAGGTGAAATCCGGAGTCAATGTAGGGTTACTGCCTGCTAACCTCACCTCGGGGTGCACTGTCCCTTTAGAAACTGACATTTACATCAGAGAGCTTATTCTTTAAACACAGCTGTGCCACCTGTTTACTGTCTCACTGGTAATACTCTTCCACCTTTTTTCCATCATATGGGTTTTCTCTCAATTCTCCCATTTCTCATCTAAAATGCAAAGGTCACACACAAGCATGTTATTGCAAAATGATACAAGGGCAAGTGCAGAAGTTCTGGGTTCTAGTCCAAGTTAGCATCTGAACAACTTGTGTCCCACAAGTCTCAATGCAGTCTGCTCTGTTCCCACCTCTTCTTTTCCCATCCTGCTTTTCACCACCACCTTAAGATCTCTAGGCCAGAATCCTTGTCTATAAAGCAAGTAGCTTTTACACATGAGCTCTGAGGTCTCATCTAGCTCTTTCTATGATTGATTTTCTAACTAATGTTCCTTCTCTGCAAGGTATCATTACAGCAGGCATGAGGCTGCTTGGCACCAACTCACAGCACAGCTTACAGTCCGCTTACCGAATACAGTTCTTTAAGCTGGTCATGGTCACCCTGCGTGGTGCTCCTGCCCATCTGGAGGCCTACTGGGGACTCAGGAGCACTGAAGGCAGAAACGGGGCCGGAGTGTCAAGTCCTCCTGTTCCTTATAAGTGATGCTGGTTAGGAAAAAGAGGCCCAAATTAGTATATCTCTGAGAGGAGGAGAGGGTCATAACTTCCAGGAACACAGGACCAGGCTCTGGCACTATCTCCTGTATTTTCCCAGGCCAGCCAGTTGGAAAAGTTCTAAAGTTCCATGCCAGCCTTCCATCCTATTTTGCTATTATCATCTCTCGCCGTTTGAGAAGTTCTTTCAAATTCTTTTATTTTTTCCTTACAGTTTATTATATAAACTATTACAAGTAGAGATGAAAACAAGTACCTTTTATAACAACAAGGCAGCATCTTCTCCCGGAGGGTGATCCGGTATTTGTAACAGTAGAAGTAATAGGCGTATGGTGACCAGATTGGGTAGAAGTGGTTCCGTGTTGTTCCCCTCTTGATATAAGAAAGGGAGTAGAGAGAGGGGCGGGACCTGTTACAAGGCAGTTTCTTCGTTCAGTGCCTCCCTGTGGCAAAGTGAGGTTCAGAGATGGGTGACAAAGATTTAGGCAATCTGGTGGCATTGTGACCCGGTGGGCACTATGACATGGACGAAGAGTCAGCCCTTATGTCACTTCAGGACTCTGCTCTCTGCTCCCCTACCCCACCCTTCCCCTTTAGGCAAGTATGCACTTCATGACTGGACCAGTGGTAAACAGCCCTGCCTGAGCATGTGTTGTGCCCACCCAACCTGCCCCCCACAACACACACACAGAGACACCACTTCCTCTAAAATTCAGCAACTAAAGGGTTGGTGTCTGACACTGCAAGAGGCTCCCAAGATCCTTATCCGGGATCTGACCTGATTGGTTCCTGGTTCCCATGAATTCAATATTTTCATTATCATCTCTACCTTTAACCACCCAAGGGTGCTACACATTTTTGAACTTTCTAATTGCCTTGTAGGGTAGGAGTTGCACACTAAATGTCTCCAGGGCTCAGGACAGCTAAAGGAAATTAGTGGAGCTGCTGGGTGGGGCTGTAGCAAAATGGAAAGTTCACACCCTGTCTCAAAGAAGCCAACACAGCTCGGCTCCATCCATCCAGTTGTCATGCAGAAATGGGGACTCTGTGGTACTAGATTGTATGATTTTTCAACAGAAACTGGAAAGAGATTGTTGTGAATTTCTCCAAATTGTTTTAATATTGACTAACTCAAAACTGTTGATTTTTTTTTAAAGCAACATTATAAGTAAAATTTAGTTCTGGGACCACCAGTCCAAGACCTCTACATATTCATTCATCTAGTCAACAAATATTTACTGAGGGCCTTCTATGAGCCAGCCACTATTTTAGGTACCTGGGATACATCAGTAAACAAAAGATCCCTGCCCCCTGGAACACATCTTGTGACAGTGAGAGAACAAACCTAAACAATAAGCATAAGAAAATCATTTAATATATTAAAAGATAATATGTCATAAAGAGAAAATAGAGCAGGACAAAGGAGGATCAGGAGTGTGAAGAGGGTGGGACAGGTTGCAGTAATAAATAGGGTGATCCAAGTAGGTCTCATTGGAAAGGTGACATTTAATCAAAGACTTGAAGGCGGTGAGGGAGTTAGGCAAGCCAACATCTGGGGGTAAGAGCATTCCATGCCTACACAGCCACCAATGCGAAAACCCTAAGGAGGAAGTGTGCCTGGTGTCTTCAAGAAACAGCAAGGAGGCCACTGTGGGTAGAGCAGTGTAAGCTGTAGGGAGAGTAGAGGGAGATGAGGTCAGAGAACTATGAGACCAGATCATACATGGCCTTGTAGACCATCATATGGACTTCTTCACTCTGAGTAAAGGAGGAAGTAATTTCAAAGTTTTGGCTGGAAGAGTGACAGGCTCTGTCTTACATTCTTAAAAGTGTGACTGATGTAAGTAACCTGTAGAGCATTAAAGGGAGATTTGTCAGGAGACTAACGCAGCAATCCAGAAGGATAGTCTTATTCCAGGGTGAAGCATTGAAAGTGGTGGGAAGTGGTGGGATTTTGTAAATAGTTTAAAGGTAGAACCCACAGGATTTCCCTAAGTATGAAAGAAAGAAGTTGGGTCCAAGAACTGAAAGAAGGGAGTTCCCATCAACTGAGATGGAAAGTCTCCAGGTGAGGTAGCTTGGGGCAGGGGGCCAGAGATTGGTTTAGTCTGGAGCATGTTAACGTTGAACAGTCCATTAGACATGTAAGGGGAAGAAGACAAGCAGGTGGATATTCAAGTCTGGAGTTTAGAAGTCCAGGATGGAGAGAGACATTTGGAAGTCATTGGCATCTTAACAGTACTTTAAGCCATGAGACTGAATGAGATCGTCAGGAGTGTGTATATTGAGAAGAGTAAAGATTCGAAGACTGAGTCCTGGGGGCACTCCAAGGAAGGAGAAATCAGCAAAAGACACTGAGAAAAACTGGTGTCCTGGGAGCTAAGTAAAGTATAATTAGGAGGGACGGCCAGTCAAAGGCTGTTTATGAGTCAATATAATGCACAGGGCATCTTTCCATAATCTCCTCTACCAAACAGACCCCATTCATGCCATTTATCTGGTCTTCTCTCCAGTACTGAGACCCTCCATTAGGAAAACCGTCTGGGCCTTGTCATAATTTATTTTTTTTATGGCTTATCTCCCTTATGATTGAGAATTCTTTAAACATTAGCTTAAGTACAGCAGTTGTAAAGATTCAGAGTTAAACAACTCCTGGGTTAGCATGGTGTCCCAGACGAATCCACCCTTTCACCGCCTTTAGGTAGATCGTCAAATTTTCAAAGAAAAATTGGGAGCGGCAACCTCAGTGTCCAGTTATCTAGAGTCAGAACTGGAGGTAACTTCAGAGATCACCAAAACCAAGGGGCAGAGCGGTCTTCCCGGGTCGGCGCACCGAACAGTCACTCCCCTGTCCGTCAGTACAATGGGCGCCCCTCCCCCGAAAAGAAACTAGGAGGACGGAGTGAGGAAAACGCCGAATCGTGGAGCGTCGGCTCAGATCTCGGGTCTCCCGGCCGCAGCGACG